GTAATTAGTAAGCTAACTCCTGTCTTTTCTAAATTCCAGTTATTTGTTCCATTCAATTTAGGTTACTTGCTTCAGAACCACATTTTATTAGCTTTTGAGCTGTGTAGGGAGTTAAGTGGATGGCAACTTTCCTGAAACAACTTACCTTCAAATCCTGTGGTAACACTGGTGGTTGCCCTAAATGGCATTTGGCTCCTTTGGCCACTCTGTCTTCTTTTGCAGATAGAACATGAGAGAATAGAGACAAATCAGATGGATCTGTGTAATGTACACTAGAAATATTCCTACCTGGAGAGCATGGGGTTTCTCCTAACCCTCAGAGTAAAGACGTTGCTTCAGCTCCTTCCAGATCCCTATTCCTCACCTAAGCCTCCTGCTGTAATGTTACTGCAGCATTCTTATGGCTCATTCCCTCCTCCAAGGAGTGATGAATAGGAATCAATAGCAAGCCCTTCCTTATTTAAATAGATTTCATCAGACAACATAAATTTACGCGTGGATTAATGTTTCATGGAAACTATTGGGGTTTTAGGAAACTTGGAGCAAAATGCCAAGTTTCTGGACAAAAAGCTGCATACCAATTATTTTGATTCTGCCACCGTAGACCTTCTGGTGCTCTGATATTGTTGCTCCAAGGATCCTTGCAGCCAGGGTTCATGATATTCCTGTCTTCATTCTGAATACTCTGAGATGTCTCTGAGGTCATTCCTACCACAGCATGGGAAAGGAATTAAAAGTTCCTTCTGTCCTGAGTTGTTCCTGGTATAGTGCAGCATAAGGAACCTCTGAAGATAGACAAACACATCCTCTTTTTCCCCCACATTAAAATCCCCTTCTCAGAATTAATGATTTTCCACCTTAAAAAGTTAGTTTTCAGCTTGTTTTGTATGCACAAAAATCTTCAAAATGTTAAAAATTTCAAACTTTATTGGAATTTAGACTTGGGAGAATTTTAAGCTCTAGTGGCTTCTGAGCACTGAGACATGATAATGTCTGCTTTTCATTATTGGTTATCTGACCAGAACCTCCCACTCCTTGATGCTTATTTATAAGGATCCACACTAAATCACAGCCATATTTTCAGCTTCCATGAAACAAGATGTGTTTTTACAGCTGGGAAACTGAGGGCTAAGAGTAATGTCATTTGCAATGTCATGCAAAACTCAGTGGAAAGCTTGGCAAGAAAGATCTTGATCTGATCTGACTCACAACATGTTCTACTTGCTCTTCCATGCACACTCCAAAAAAGACTGCTCCTTCTCTCTAAGGACTAATGCTAGTAAAAGCTGGAAACAAAACACTCTATCCTCTACTCTTTCCTTTCTTCCAACGCTAATGTCTGGAGCCTTTTAGTGGCTCCATATTGCCATCATTTAAGTCCTGGGCACATGGAAAATCAGTGTTCTAAGGCGGTAAGAAATGGGAGGAAGTTGCAACCATAATCTCCCTATTAGAATGAAGCAACTCTGCCTTTGGCCAAGATCTTTTTACCCTCTTTCCCATTTAGAATTATATTTTTCTGGGAAATTCCCTTTTGAGTGCAACTGGCAGGAGTTTTTTGCCTTTTGGTTCCTTGTTAGGCAGTGAGTCTCTGTGTACAGCCAGGCCCTAAGTCCTCAGTGTCTAATGAGCCTGTACTAAGATAATGCTTTGTGCACTCATGCATCCAGCTCTGCAGCACTGATATGCAGTCAGGTTATGAAAGGTGAGAGTATAGTTTCGTAACACAAGCAGAGGACTTAAATACAGGGCTCTTTTGTCTCTTATTGTCTTGGTAAAACTGTCCTAGAGAAAGTATGATAAAAAAGAAAAGTGGCTCTATTAAAAGAAAAAAATAAATTTTTAAGTGTTCCAAAATCTCCCTAAGATTCATCAAATTACCTGAAGGCAGATGATTGAAATAAATGTGAAAGAAGTCGAAATTCAGAAGTGCTTATAAGATACAGAGACAAAAGTGCTTCCCTGCGTTAAAAGTATAAAATACTAGTTTTCTTTGCTGGAAAATGTACTGCATTTTGGTGTTCAATTAGTAGCTGATTAGGACCAGCTGTTGGGTGATGCAGTGACTTGAGGAAAGAGTAACACATGAGCTGAGCTCTGTGTCAGTAAGACATCTCTGAGTCACATCTCTTCTTTGGCTGATCCTGAATGGGGGAGGGATAACAATTTTCCTTCTGAGTTAAGTTAGAGTGATGACTAAAATGCCTTTCCTTCATCATCCACTACTGACTACATCAGGCAGCAAGGGGCTGGGATTCTCTCCATCCTTCTCTACATGAGGTAGTGAAGCTGTTGGAAGAACTGGCCTTATTTTTCTTTGTGTTGATTTCCATCTTGAGAGTGGCGGATCTCACAGGACTCATTGCTCTGGGTTTTGCTATTAAATACACTGTGAATTGTGATAAAAGCAATGCAACTGCTCTTGCTGATGTGCAGCTGTTGGTACCCACCAGTGGAGCCCATGTCAAGAGGTTTCTCCTCCGTGAGTGCACTAACAGGATCTCCTTCCTACTTCTTGCTGGTTCTTTTCATGGAACTGGTAGGAATTTTTCTGTTCCATTGCTTTCGCAGGTTTAATTAACATTGGCTAGAGGGTGTCCAAGCTATTAGGGCAAGAAAATGGTGTCAGCAAGGGATGAAAACATTTGCATAGTATGATCACACAAGGTTTGTTCTCGTGTGTGTTCTTTTTCCTTTTTCTAAAGCCAAAACATATTTGAATTTGGCATGAATTTCTGGAGAGTTGGCCTGAGACTTCAATTTCTTTGTCAAATCAACTATTAAAATATTTTCTTGAAGTTCCATCCAGTAACCCTGGTTACTCTTCAGTGTAGGCTGGTAAACAGTTTGGAGAAGAGTGGGGTTTTTTTTTTTTAGAGCACTACTTAGACACACAGGTCATTTTATAGTGTAATTCAAAGAGTGTTTCATATCTCAGGATGGAGAAAATAGTGCCAAGGCAGCAGGTATCTTAAGACTCAGTGTCAGCTTCTGGTGCTCCTGCATTATTATTGTTGTTGTTGTTTTGTTCAAGCTGAAGAGGCATACCATAGAGCAGCATGACAAAGAAACAGGACAAAGATTTTTTTAAATTAAAAATCTACATCAGGATCACAAATGTATAGTGAAAACAAATCCTCATTTGTTCTTACTTAGAATATGTGAACTTGATGATATTAAAGAGAATAGATATGAGTCCAATAAACAGAAATACTACATTTGTTCAGTGTCTGGTAAATCTGTTAAATTCATTGTCAAGGAAGGTTACCTAGACTAATATTGCAGCAGGACACTTCAAAGGTGCTGAATCATTTTATGACTACTAATACTTCTAACTCCTTATGTGAAATCTCATGCTTCAAATTGTACACAGCAAACCACTTTTCACTGCTCTTTTCTTCCTTTACATCAGTGGCTACAGTTTGGCTTCAAGGTGCTTTCTGCAGTAAAGCACTAACTAGAGACAGGATTTTCAGGATTAAAGTCTTACTGCAACTTGGTAGTTCCATAGTTCCTGTATATTTTACATGCACAAAAATTCAGCCATACTGTTAATTCTGGTATAGCAACAGAGAGATAAGAAGTTTTTTTACAATTAAGACATTTTAACATTGTTTGAGCTTCATTGTTGTATCAAACTCTGTAAAGGGTTGGTCCAAGTAAGCTTCTCATCTGTAAAATATACAGTCTTCTTTTGGACCACAGTGGCACTTTCAGCTTGCCCCAAGAATTTCAGCCCTCCAAAATACAATTTTCAGCAGTGTTTGATATGAAGTCAAAAAGGAAGTTTTTGTACTGCTTCTCACGCAACTACTTCCAGATAAAGTCAGGGCTTCTATCAACTTCTAAAAATTTTACATTCATCTGAAGACCTTCTCCTCAGTCAATCTTAAGTCACTTTTTCTCCTGCAGTTTTATGTGCACCAGACTTCTAAATCTTCTTTTCTTTCTAAATAGTCTTTTAAATGCATATTTGCTATTGAAATATTGTCATGTTCTCATGTCCAGCCATGAAGGCAAGTAGTCATATTTCCTATAGGAGAAGTTCTGAAAAATTGCATTCCAAGATTATAATTTGTATTAGGAATATGAATTTTCTTCTTTTTTGGAGGGGGCCGTTACTATGGGGGGAACAGCATATAACTGTATTCTGTATTATTAGGTCACTTCACAATTGTCAGTTGCGTTTACCTCTTCTTCTCCTTTCCCCATAAACTAATCTACAATAGAGACAAAAGTAAAATTAGATGCATCTCAAAAGATGTAGAAATCTTTAAAGAAAGGGGTAAAAGGGAGGGTCCTGTCACTGCGTTATTTGTTGTCACAGGCATGGGAATCCCAGGACAGGATTCATGGCAAATGAAGATGAGGAAGACAACTGCTAAAAAGAGTAAAGCTTTTGACAGTAGAATAGCTCAATGGCTACTCTAGACACATTGTAATCATCTGTAATTGTGACTTTCAAAGAAGGGTTCCTGTGCCTACATCTGTCTTTCACTTTTCTTTGCTGTCCAGAGTGCTTGAAAGATAAGTAATTTGGCTGTTGTTTTGTATGGCCTATTAATTATGCACTTCAAGACTGGTCTATTTCTAAAAAGTTCACCATTGATGTGCAATATTTTTTCATCAGATATGTCCAGAAAAGGCTGCAATCTACTGCAGTCGGCAGACATGTAAAATTAGCTGTGATTAATAAATAGTGTCAATTTCTGGAGGTTTTTAGGATCTTATTTTTTATTAAAGTCCTAAAATTTTTATATTTTTTTAGTGCATGTGTTTCTAGGACTTTTCAAGTAGCAGTTGCAGGCTTTGGATAGACATCTAGAATTGCAGAAATTGGTTTGTTGCAATCAATTACTCTCTTATTTAAAAGTGCAGACAGGTGGGACAAAACATGTGACTTTGTCAGGGCTGTCTTTCAAGATAAAAAGGGACAGTAACTGACTTTGTTGTAATTCATAATACTCAGAAAGGTTTGTCCTCTGCTTGTTCATTTTAAGAGAGTGGATTGGTTTGTGGCCATGGTGTTAACTGAGAAAAGGACAACTTTGCAATGGATTTGGTTCAGCTGCACTGGTTTACCTGAGGTGGATGAAGTGTTGTGCTGAGGTATCTAATTTTCTGTAAGGTAAGCCAAGATTTTTTTAGATGGTGGAACAGAATTTAACTTTGTTACCATTTCATAGGAAATTCAGTCAGCGTTGCTTTTTCCAGTACTAATTTAAATCTAATGTCCAGGATATTTATTGTGTTTGTACAAATTCAACATAAAATTAAGTTTTAAAACCCCACAAGGATGTACAGCAACCCACTGGACTTTTCTTTGTGATTTATCACTGCTCTGCCCCAATGATCTGGACTGTTCAGTGGCTGGAACACCCACACAGCCTGATGATCCATTTATCCAATTTATCTGATCCCATCTCTTTCCCACCCTGCTTGGCAAGGAGCAGTTCCATGTCACATAGAGCACAGGTGAGCTGACACTGCAGTAGCACTCCTGAGAGAAGCTACGACTTTGGTTCCAAAGCATGGGTGCAGTAATATTCTTTGTTGCTCCCTTAAAGAGATGACTGTTTTAAATAATAAAACAACAATGCAAAGACTAGAGGGAAGAGCTGTCACAGCCTAATTGAAAGTTCGTTATGCTGCTTATGCCATTATCGTAAAACTCTTTATCATGTGTCTGTAAATGTGCAAATTAAAAACCCAGAGGTAATTTTGTATTTTATCTGCATTAAAAAAGATTGTGAAATTATAATCTCTTTCATAGTTAAATAACTTTAACCTGTATGGTGACCTTTGAATATGCAAATTACATAGCTTTGTTGGATGGAATACATTTTGTTAATTGTAACATGATAAGTGGAGAAAATCTGAAGAAAACAGGAATTCATTTTGAAGTAATCATAGTGGAAGGTTTATGAGATAAGGAAAAAGGAAACATATTTATGTGCAGGCTCAGAAGAATGATTGTCTACTGGTGTTCAAATCTGTGACTCTATAGCTGTAATCAAAACCAGCAGGAGAATTTCTAACTTACATCACCAGCAGCAAACTTGGTGAATACATAATGCATGCCCAGAGACTTGAAGAATTCCAATAGGTTCTTAGATAACAGGGTACTTTGGTTTGGGTTTTTTTGCCTTTTTTTCCCCTCAGTTTGTAAGGCATCTTTGAAAAAACTTGATGCTGTGACCATGAAAATGAGTAATAATTAAACATTTTTCTGCAGGACATAATGATCATTTTCACATAAAGAGGAGAGAGAATGTAATGAACACAAGGAGAGATTAAGTTGCTCTTAGGCATAGTACAGGTTGGTTTTGAACAAACCTTTCTTGTCTCTTGTGCACACAAGCATGCTGCCGTGCTATCATGCTGTCTCCAGACCTGCTCTCTTCCCTGTGCATGTGTGCCAGGGACATTTTGAATGACCATGTCTTGATTTGGTGACCACTGGAATGAAGTGGGCTTGCATTTCCCTTTATACCTGTGACCTGGACTAGAGATACCAGTTTACTTCTCCAGAGGTTCTCGAGTGGGAGTCATGAGCTGCTGTATTGCTGTAGCCATTCTGGAGTGCACCTATATCCCACGTACCATTACACACCCAGAAGCAGCAAAGTTTAAGCAAATTTCACCACTGATCTCAACAGGAACAGCTGCAAACTCTCCTTGTTATTTATGGCTGACTTGCAAGCAAAGGTTTGGAAAGAGCTGGTAATAATGTCTGCAGAATACAAAGCTTTACTCAAGGTATTCTGGCTTGAAGGTATGCTTGGTAGTTAAGGCAGAGGAGGCCTCCTAGGTAACTTACTGCTAGAGCCTCATTCACTGGCAGAGTGGCAATTCATGACTAGGCAGAGCAGACATCAGTGTTACTGATAATGGTGCTTTTTTAGGCTGCTTGAACTCTGTTGGATTATTTATAAGAAAGAATGACCGAATCAAATCCCAACTGTAAATCTGAGTGAATTCCATTAATGTATTTTTAAAGCAATTATTTATTTTCATAATTTCTATATTAACAAATATAAATTACAGTCAAGTCTTTCTTTCATCTCTCATTTACTTCTCTGAGTGTATTTATTCTCCATTGAGGTATACCACGACCAATTCAGATTCATTGCTTTGAGGCTGAGCTGTTTGTTTTGCAACTCTGCTGCGTAAAATCAGAAGATAACTTCCTTTGCTTTTGTCTCACTGGATCCTGCAAAACTGGCTCTTTCTCACAGTAGATCTTTCTGATTACTGCTTACTCTGTAAGTTTTGACAGGAAGTTATACAGACTTGGAATTAAGATTCCAAGGGGCTGCAAGCATGCTATGTTTTGACTACTGCATATGGATATTTTTAAAGGCTGAAAACTAAGCTGTCAGTCAAAAATACATCATATTAGCAAAATGTGGATTTTCTGGCTAAAGTGTGAAGGGCTTTATCAAGGGGCATGGACATTTTTAAGAAGGAAGATCTCGAAATACAAGGTTAGTCAAAGTGTCTCAAAAGGTCTGGCAGTAATGTAAATAGTTCTTGAGGATATTTTGCTGTAAACATTTTTTATAACATTCACATGCTCAACGTCATAAAGAGAAACCTCTTAGGTTGTTATGTACCAAGAAGTGCAAGAAAGTCTATGAAAGTAGAGGAAATTGAATTGTAACCTGTAGGTAAGTTATGACCCACTGGTTGAAACAATCTAATATTTGCACCTGCCCTAGTAATGTTTCATGAAGAAACTCCAGCACTGCCATCATGCAAGTCACAGCAATTGAATTTTCTATCATTTTCTCACAAACTCCTCCCTATGGGTTTTCATTCTAGAGTTCAGTACTTCTGTTGTTATCTGGTTTTTGTAGGCGTCCAAATCATAAAAATATCATTAAGAACTTGGGGCAAATTCAAATGTGGGCCAGACTTTGTTCTTTTCCATCATGGAGTGCAACTCATTCTTGACATCAGCTCAGAGCCGAAATCAATGTGAATTGCGTAGTTTACATATTTCCTACTAAATTAAAATCTCTTAGAAATTATGAAAATATCAAAGCCTTGAGGACTGCGGGTGGGGGAGCCTAAGAGTCTTCTTCCCAGCCTCCTCCTGCTGGCTGGGGACATTTCCTGGGATATCACAGCTTGAATACCCACCCTGGGGCTGTAGGGGAGGATACTGTTTTACATGGGTCAGAAACATGCCAGAAACTATTCTGCCTGCATGACTCCATAGATGTTCACATTCAACTGCTTGCAAGTGTTTGGGGCATTATTTAATTCATTCCTATGCTTCAGTGCAGCCGTACAGGGCCAAAGAACTTCAATGAAGAGGCATAATCCAGGTACCCATCCACTTCTTTATGTACTCTTGGGAGTACAAGCAGAGTTGTCTGGGCAACAGCAAGCTGCAGAGGTTTCATGTGGCCTGAACTAGGATCCTGCAGGCATCTGCCTCAGGAACCCTTAATGGAAATTTATTTGCTGTGCTGGAAAAAGTTTTGTTAGATAAGTACCTCTGTGTCTTATCTTGTATTTCAGCTTCCTTGGCAAAAAAGGTGATTGCAAAAGTGATTATGGTGGTGTTTGGATTACTGGTAATGAAAAAGAAATTCTGTGTACTTTTATTTATTTTTGTGTTGCAAAGATAGAAGACTGAAAAAGTTAGAAACATGAGCAGAATAGTAAAAAAAACATGTTTGCTACTGGATTCTGGGGAGTATTCACATGCCAAAAGTTCGTTTGTGCCCTCATACTGATAAGAGGCTTATCCTAACAGGAAAGTCAAAGTGCAGACATATAAATCTAAAAAAATTGAATTCATTAATGTTTTTACCTGCTGATTTCTAGACATGTTGAGGGAGAAAGTCAGCTGGGCCAGAGAAGGAACCTGTCCTAAGAATGTATGAAAGATTCAGTTGCGTATAGCATTCACTTGCCCTGACTTTATACTAGCAATAGGAAATCTACTTATTGTTGCTGTTCCTAAAATGGAGCTGAGCTGCTAAGGACAGAAATGCAAGTGACAACTTCCCACATATCTTCCTGTTTCCTCTGTTACCAAAGAAAACCAGACCTCATTTAATCATACCTACTTGAGTATTCTCATCCATTAGTGTTAGAAAAAAAAAAAGGAGTGCCATCCTGTGGGAAACTAGGGTTATCTCTTCCCAGAAGCTCCATTCCATCAGTGGGCTCATTTACCTTTTCACAACAGAAGACCTAATTGTACCTCTGAAAATACAATGTTTTAATATTTGCCATTATTAGGTATAAAAGTGTAGCTGTACATTAACAACTCCTGTGACAGAACTGAGAAGGAAATATACTCATCTTATGCCGAAAGGCTGCATTAAAAATAGGAACAGATTATTACAGAAACTTAATAGAAAAAAATCTTTCCCACCACCATATGGTTGTGATATAACACAAAGTGTTTTCCTGCCAAGATATCACATTACAATGGCAGGCTGCCAGTAGCTTCTCTCTTCCTCATTTAAACAACAAAAATATCAAAAAAGAATTCTTTGGCTGAATGAGGCTGTTGCTTTTAAACATATACTATTGGCTGGTACTCCATCTACGTCTCAGTTTCTCTAGAGACAGTCCATTTCACTGTGTTTTATTCAAAAGAGTACTGGAAAATTGTTTATACAGTTCAGATGTTCTAGGACATTTCTTTCTTTTCCTAACCTTAGAAAAAGAGGTCTTACATGGCTGCAGTAATCTATTCTGATTTCTAGTTCCTGCTTGAACTAGTTTTGATGATGTAAATTTGAAGCCATCCTGGTCATCTCTCCTTGTCTCTACATTAACGCCTGTGCAGCTTGAAGAGGTGTGAGGCTATTATTTTCCAGACTGTTTGATAAGGGACATTTGTTCAGCAGAGTTCAGACTCAGAAAAACCTACTGAACTATCCCTTGTCTCTGGCATAACATGCATTTGTCATGGTATCTGTAGTTGCTTCTTAAGGCTACTTCATGTGGTTAATACATGTGGCATCAAATTGTACTTCCTGTGTGTTAATATGAGGAGGCTGGGAACCTGCTTTCTTTTTCTTAATGCCTACCAGTAGAAAAAGCATAATGTTTTAATCACACATCCTAAAGTAGTCACTAATATCCCCAGCACCACAATGCATGTCTAGCTGGGGATACTCCTTTCTTATACAACAATAGCCCACAGTGGTGATGATGTGCGTTCAGGAAGCACCAGATCTTTGTAACCTGTCCCTCTACCTGAAATACTCACCTGTGGGTGAGCACCTGTTAGCCCTTACCTAAAGTCTTTGATGAGGACATGGTTGTATGTTCAACTACATCCTCAGATGGTATAAATTGCTTTTTTAAAAAAAGAAAAGGCTTTTTTTTTTTTTTGCTTTTTTCACAGACATCTCCAGTTTTCTACTCCTGAGCTGTGTCTATCTCTACTAAGTAAAATGCTGTTAGAAGTAGTTACTTTGTGACCTGAAAGCATATCATCAGGACCACAGGACATCTGACTTCATTACTGTTCTCTCTGTCTTTATCTGCACCTTTGTTTCTGTGTAGTTCCCTGGAGATCATGGATATGTATCAAACCAAATAACTGTCCTTCAGAGGGCAAAACAATATTTGCAAAATACTGAACAATTTGTCTTTTGACAAAATGTGTGTGTGCTTGCTGAGCTTTCAGCCTTGTTGAGCATAAGGGTCCTATTTTTCTTAACGCCCTTGCCTCCAAACCAGTGAGAAACTGAGTGCAGCCCAAAGAGATGCTCATGTTGCACTCAAATAATTTTCTTCAGTTTCATCTGTGTTAGTATTAGTCACAGGTAATTTCATTTTGTGTGGACAGTTAATGTGATTAGCCACATTTAGATTTATGTGTATGCCGACTTGAGCTGCATTACATAGCTGTTTTTTAGGTGCAAATGGTATGGTGATTGATGTAATCTCATGTTCTAAATAAGTGTCTCGTCATGACACTTTGCTACTTTTACTAATAACTACATTGCTTTTTAGTTCAGCTCCTTTAAATGAAGATTGTTCATATGCTCTTTTTCTCAGACAACTAATGCTGGAAACCTTTGGAAAGAAATTGGTAAGTCGTCTTGGATACTGCATAAATCTTTGACAATCAGCTTGAACAAATCAAGACTGATACACTTAATGATAGACAGAGGTCCCCATGGCTGTCAGCTAATATGAGGGGTTGCCATTTTCTTGCTGCAAAAAATTTGAAGGTGTATAACCATTATGATTGGCTGTGAGTTGTAAAAGTTCTGATCCTATCATGCTCTGAAAACTTTTGAAGCAGTTTCTATTTAGCATTGCTCTGCTGTGCTTCACACTGGATCTCGTAGCCTTTTAACACATGAACCAAGGGTGCAGAGATCCACGTGTCTGCCTGCCAGGCTCTCCCCCAGGATCCCTCCCTTTGGTCACCTGGCTCTGCAGATGAAGTTCTGTGCCCTGGAATGGAGATGTAGTGACCATTGTGTACAGAACTTCAACAAGCATTTATGCTGGCATGCTTGTAACGGATTGGAAGATTGGAAGACTGCTTGCTAGTAGAGGCTCAGGAGAAGGAATAACAACACTTTTTAAATTTGCACTTGTGGTTTACTGAACACGGGGCCAAGGCCTAGACTTGGTCTTCTATGATAACAGCGCCAGCTGTCACAGTGAGACTGAGGGTGTTAGACCAAGTGCTAAATCTTGGTTCAGTAAATTGCAAGACAAAGAAATTTTATTAGATTAAGCACAGTAAGTGGCACATCCATTTATTGAAACTCAAGTGTATGAAGAAATTAGCAAAAAATCTGTAGCTTCCAAAGGAAGAGTTGTCTATTTGCAGAGATGAATAAAGATAATTATAATATCAAAGTCTAACAGAACTAGAGAAGTTGGTGGCTGAGACACACAACACCCTGTCATTTATATAATTAATGACTGTCAGAAATGATCATTGGTCTTTAGTAAAACTCATGTTTACCAAAATATGAGGGTCCACTTGAAAGGCTGTTGTAGTCGTAGGGCAGCATGAATAGCAAAGTGTCTACTACTGACTATTCTTCACCTATGAACTGACAGACTGGGATGGTTTTAGAAGACCTTCACTACACAGCTGTGTTTATGCTCTTCATATCTAGCCTCTATTATTTTCCATTTACTGTGGCTGAAAATATGAATATAGACAAATAGAAAACTAGATTAATCACTTGATATTCAGACAAGCTCTGAAGCCCTTAAGAACTTTATATCTTGTGAAAATTGCCAAAGAAAAGAGGGGATTGTAAGTCACTGTAGAAAAAGTCTCTTAAGTCTCAGACCTGTCTCTAAAATGTTGATTTAATGCAATTTTTTTTCTTCTGCTGACAAGCCAACTACAGCAATACTGGTTATTCCTTGTTAATCTTTTTTCCAGACACATTTGAATCCAGTCAGAGCCCAAAGTGGATGAGGCCAAAGAGGTCTTCACTGTCATTACTATATGGGATCCCAATCCTCTTTGCTATTAAGGGAATAGAGAGATGTGTGGGAAGCAATGGACAGCTGGCAGAGGTGCCGTTTTCTACTTGGAGAAAGGGTTCATATCTCTTTGGTCAGTTCTCTACTCCATTTTCTCATCAGTGTCTCATATTCTCTTGTTCCAGTTGTGAGCACTTATTTTGAATAGATTTGTTTCACTTAAACCAGGAAGGAATCCAGATACTGCTGGTTTTCCTTCCTGGGACACTTTTCAAGTACAGGCAAATCTAAGAGCTTTCTGCTGTTCTGTTCTCTTATCCACTGGACAGATATAGCCTTGGATAATATTCCTGTCATATTGTGGGAGTCAGCAACAGAGAAAAGAGAGTTTCAGGTCAGTAATAATCCATTAAATGCAAGCCTCGTTGTTCAACAGTTAAGTATAGAAATAGTTTCCTGATCTGACTCTTTCCACTTAGGTTTTGTGAATTGTCATTCATCAGTCAGTAGGCAACACAGCTGAGTTTATGCAGTAACTCAAAGCACCTCCTTTCCCCTGCCTCTGCTGCTTGGTTTTCTGCTGAATTCAATCAAGGAGCTGCCAATTGCCACCAGGTGAGTCCCGGGAGCTAAAAGGAGGAAGGGAGGGACTTGGTGAACTGGCAGCTCGGAGGGTATAAACTGCCTGTTGCAGGTGGGGAATTAGATTAGGTCGAGTGTTTATGTGTCTGTATGTTTTCTTGGGTTCTTAGCTATGAAGTGGACCACCCTGGCATGGTAAGAACTTTTTCTGTTCTCCTGTGTTGCTAATGAAATTGTGAATACAGAAGCTGGTTATTTTGTAAAGTTTTCCTATGCACTTGGTCAAGGCAGACTCAGAAAGATGTTAATCATAACATGTATAGTCCCACAGTAAGGGGAAGAGAAAACCAAGCACCATTTTCTAAGTTGGATGATTTAGGAGGATTCATTTGTATCTTGAATGCAGTAGAGAGGAAGCTAATCCCTTCTAATGGTATTTTGTCCTTTTTGAGTCTGTCCTGAAGGTTTCCCATTTACAGGACAATTGAAAGCAAGGGTATCATAAGAACAAGTGATGAATCCTACCTGTCTTTTCAACATGGAAGGTGTGTGTTGTGAAGAGGTGTATGTTATTCCATGGCTGTGTAAAATTGTGTCAAAGTTGTTAAGGAAGGATTTGATTATGGTAACACTGGGTTAACCAGGATCTCTGCATGCTCCAGAGGAAGGTGTAAATGCGTGCCCTGTTTCTAACTGAGTGCCCTTCTGCTCTCCCTGCTTCCCTCCCAGTGCCTTTGGCTTCATTGCAATAGTTTTGTGTATAAGCAAAGCACTTGAAATGCCATTTAATTTTATCTGAAATGTGACTAAGTTTTTGAAGAAGACATGATCCCTCACTGTTTCCTTGAAATGTGCAGGCAGAGGGTTTAGCTGCATGTTTTTGTATGTAGCTGAGAACCTCCATGTGGTGATTTCCCGTTTTCCATGTCCATGTGACTATTTGCTTCTCTTAACAAAGCAGTATCTTCAGTTACAGTAACACTGCATTCTACCAGGGCAAGGGTGTCTATACAGCTTCTGTTCCTTTTAACTAGTGTTCCTAGCTGCAGGGAGATGAAGTGGGATTTACTTACTTTTGTTTTCAGGTTTTCTGTAGTTTGGCACCTATTGTTCAGAGAAGTAGTAACAAGAGATCCTTGGCCATGCAGCTCCTTGGAACCAAATCTGTGTAGGAACAAGGGGTGAAAGTAATCTTGCAGGACAAAGAAGAAAGGTGAAACAAAGAGAATTAACTACTCTTGCTGCCATTATGATTCAGTGAAGGAATTTTTTTCCTTCATTATTTTATAATACATTTTCTTTTTTTAAATACTTGTGCAGTTCAAGATCTTTCCATGAAACTGTTAAGAGTGACTTATCCTAGGATAAATTCCTTCGTGCTCTAATTTGAGTGTAATGTCTTATATTGTCTTTGTTTCTGCATAGATTTCTGATCTTGCAAGGTGCTTATGACAGCTGTGTTGCTAACTCCTCACCACACTAGTAAGCTGTGGGTTATCTCTTGTGAGATTGGATTGTTAATTGGTGGTCTGTTTTATTTTTTCTAGACATTGTAAAGGCAGTATAAATCTGTGGTAAGGAAGTAGTGTAAGCAGAAGCAATTGTTTCTGATGACACTAAAGTAATTAGAAAAAGAGCCTGAAACCTATAATTAGGACATTACACAATAGAAATTAGATAATGGGAGGATAGGGAGTGTAAAATACTAATAGTGGAGAGCACATGGTGTTTTATAACCACAGGACATGTGTTATGCTCTGTCGTGGCTAAACTGTATTTGAGATCCAAGAGCTGCTGATATTTTTCAGACCTTTTAAGACCTAACCATTCTATGGGGAAAATACTGCTTTTTCTAGTTCCTAGTAGGCACCACTTTTCTCAGTGAAGTACAATGAAGTTTCTTTTCTAAAAAGGTTTGGTTTTCATGTGATGTGAACAGTTGGTGTTATGGCACATCTGTTGAAACCACAGTGCCAGGCCCTTTAAATAGCAAAATGGAAATTTGCTGGAGTTCATTATTGGAAATACTTCCATGGAAAAGCCACTTCTCAAGAAGTAACTTAGATGTGTAGTCAGTTCCTGTTGTGTTTCCTTACAGGCCACATGTTTTTCCATTTTCACTGCTTTAAAGAGAACCTTGGCTGCAGAGCTGGCTAAAAGGACAACTCACTCTAACAAAGTTCTGTCTAGGATGAGCAGTATGGAGACAGACACAAAAACATTTGGTGCAAATTAAAATGTCATCAGCTGAAGATTTTTTTTAAAGGAGGCATTAAATTAAGAGGCTTCATGTGTGGTATTCCATCTACCTTCAAAACACAAGCCTTAAAGTTTTTCTGGAAGAAAGACTAGAAATCTTCCCATCTGTGTCCTTTATTTCAGAAGGACATTGTTTCCTGTACCCAGCTAATGAACTGAAGGGAAATACTGTAACTTCTGAACTATTATACTGGTAGCTATGTAACATGATATTTTCTGAGGAATTGCTCTGTGGCTTTAAGGACTTCAGTTAACTTCCAAGAGGTGAGAGTAAAAACTTTTCCAAGTCTAGTTTTATGATGTTGACTGTCTCTAGGCCAGTCTACCTCTTGTGTTTCATGTCCTCTTTCTGCTGTGGAAAAAGTGATGTAGCTGGTCCTTTTTAATAAGGAAATGGGCTTGAAATCATCTGATGAGTGTGCTGTTGAGGTAACGCAGTTGGGAGACAACAGAGAACCCTTTTAAATCCCCTACTTGTCCAATTGTGAATCCTTTCCAGAGTCCTAGAATACTGTATCTAAATAGAGTCTTAATTTCAAGTGGTTAAATGTTGACTACTGTGATGCATAAGCTGTAGGCAGAGTGTGAAGGTTGAGTGTCTTCTCCAGAAGTAGTCCAGTCTCTTAGTATGTTCCTTCATAATGGTGTGTGTAGGGCAGGCTCCCTAAGTATCTTCTCTAATTTAACAGCTTTTGCTTTGTGCAGTGCTAGAGATTGGGATTTCTGTCTGCATGTTTATCCATTACCTCAGTGTTTGTTGCCCTGTGATAGACAACTACCACTTGTATTTCAAAGGCATTGTCCCATTTCAAATATCTCTTTTGAACTTACATGTTATTGTGGATTATACTTACTGCTTCTTTTAATTATAATCTCCCTGTGAGGTTTTGGGGTGTATCTTTGTTACTACAGTGAAGCTCAGAGGCTTCTGATATAGGAATTAGTATTTCTTTATATGTAACTTTAGAGTCAGCTATATTATGAGTGAAAATACAGTTGCATCTGAATCCTGTGGAAAATAACTCCCATATCTTTAGTCACATAAGCTTTCAGTTCTCAGCATTGTTCATTCAGAAAATGGGCATCAAAATCTCTTGGGTGCATCTATTTGTCAGAAATACTCACTTATAATTTCACAGTGTATATGTATGGATTCTAGGAGAAGTTATTGAGAGCTTCAAAGTACTCTTAGATCCCTGCATTCATATGTGGCTGTTTCTCCCATCTGAAGTTGTCCCCATGCTAATTGAGGCTTCTCTCCCGGCAATGTTTTTTGACAGGTTCATGCTACAGTCATTGGCCCCTCTTCAGTTGTGGTGAGTTTTAACTTGTCTCCCTATGTAGCCATGACATCTCTTCCTCTCTGAGCTCTTGCAGGGACCTGCCTCTGTAGGGTTTAGGTTTCTCCTCAGCATTTGTTCTGCTACCTGAAAAAGAATAATATCTTGAAAGAGGTATAGGGGGGGAAATTAAAAATGCAAAATATAAGGTGATATAGATTTGTGATAAATATTTTATGGAAGCCATATGTAGTTTCTCTGTGTATTACATAAAGATTATTTGGATCTGTTATTTTCAAACCTTTAGAAGAACCCTATGCTCCTATTACAGTATTCTGTATTTTGAAAGTGAATTTTTACGCTTGTTCTGTGTCAGCAGTCCCTCTGAGGTTATTGAGTATTGTGCTCAAAGGGAATACATTCATTGTAATCAGGCTACTGCAGTGTGTTGCTATTCTCTGAGAGTAATATTAGTATGAATTGATGGTGGTATAAGGGAGATTACTATCTAGCCCCATTAGTTCAAACTTGGAGGAAGGTAATCAAAAGGAAATAGAGTAGTGAAATCTTAGTTTCATTACTAATTACATTATTCCAAATAAAGATCTGCAAAATCTCTGGTTGATTTGTTTGAATGCTTGTGGATTGCTCTAACCTGGCATCTATTATTGTCAGATAAGAATTCCCAAGACATCCTTTACAACTACACTATATTTTAACTCATTTTGTTCTTCTCGCCTTTTCCTTTTCACTGTTCTCTAGCTTACACACTGTACTGCAACACTGAAAAGGTGCAAAAATTTACATAACAGAGTGGCAAGTGTATTTGTCCTTCTAGAACATACTCTACTGCAGCACAAGTACCTTGTAGTGTAGAAATTGCCATAGTAACTACTCATTTCTTATTGATTAGATGGATAAAAATTCTCATAATATACAAGCAGAGTAACTTGCCGGCATATGGCTTCAGGCTACCCCTGTGGCATATCTTATGCATTCTCTCATTTTTCTGCATGTAAGAGTTTTTTAAAATGAATTAGTATTCCTTGGATTAAGCCGCAAAATAATTCTTTATTTTCTGCCACAATGGAGGTTAAATTTTAAGTTAGACTTGATTCTCCTAAGGCAGAATGTTACCTTGCATTGGTTTGCTACTGGATTAAGACAACTAGATTTCACTTCTATATGAAATCTGGATGGAGAAAGGAGATGAAAAAGCCGCCTCCCAGAGTGCCGGAGAAGTCTTAACTGCTTCAGAGCTGACCTCTAAAGAGTGAAATAGAGTATTTTAGTTTTGCAGTTGTGATAACTCTTTTTGGAAAGTGCTTTTTGAATGTTCTAATTGGTTGCCTGAGAAAATGAGCCCTGTCTTTGTTTCTCTAGTAATACTACAACCATAGTGGTGCTCTTCAACTGTGGCA